ATCATCTATGTCATTTATAGAATTAGTGATTTAGCGGTATGTTGAAATGAGGACACATAAAAAATTATTTTCCTATGATTCGCAGTTCAGTAATTTCTTTTTGTATAGAACGTTCGAAGACGTATCCGTCCTTTCCGAACAATTCGTCACTTACATACCGTTAACATTCGTCCTTGGTTTCTATGTATCGTTGATCATGGGCAGATGGTGGAACATATTTCAAAGTATTGCTTGGCCAGACAGGTTAGCATTAAACTTTACCTTCTATAATTATCATAAATTAGGTAACCTGATTATGCTTTTTTTATGATTGATGTATGAGTAATTATAACGTAGGTAACGGAATCATGCAATAAAAGTACAAAAGTTTAAATAAAAATTAAAAATCAATTAATGAAAACAGTAGGGCATGTACAGAGCTTTTTACCAGCTAATACCATCGGTTGACATTCAAAAAATTTCAAGCTACTACGGGATGCAAAGAATACTCTTGAATACTCTTTGAAGGAAAATGACCAATTCTGGTTTTCAGAACTTTCTTTTATTGCGATTGCTACACTGGTAATGAGTCAAGTTTTGAACTTTGGAGTGTGACGTTTCTCGTTGGATCATTTTATCCATGATTCATTTCATCTGAGGAACACTTGAGGTCTGTTTTCAGTTGGTTGCCGATCACCGATCTGTCTGAAAAGGCAGAGAAATGAAAACCTTTGTCAGAGTCAGCATAGTCATTCCAGAACAACGATGGCATTGACCGATATGATTGCACTAGTCGTTTAAGCGTTATTCTCTATGTCTTGGTTGTATTAGAGAACAGATCGCTCGATGATCAATTATTCCTGTCTTGTCGCCAAGTTGCTCTGAATTTCCTGTAATCGTAAAGCTTCTTCCAGAAACTGATATAGTCAGCGGCACTATGCTTTGCGCCAATGCTGCTGTTGCTGACCGCATATCGTCGTTTTGAAATATGCTTACTGTAAACTATACTTTAAACGCCATATGGTGCCTACGTCCTAACTTTCCTTAGAATAGCGGTGTACGCGTCGTGCTTCATCAAAGGATCGGATGCCAGAGGATTATACCTGAGACGGACTTTGGTGCGGTACGTCAATCTGGCTCAGGTGCTGTTGCTCAGGGACATCAGTTCTCCAATACGAGATCGCTTTCCTACAATGAAGCACCTTGTTGAAGCGGGGTATCTGTCGGAAGAGGAACGAATGATATACGAAAAGGTGCATACGCGAATGCACAAATTCTGGATACCGTGGCAATGGGCTTGCTCGCTCGTAACTCTGTGTCGAAAGGAAAACCGCATCGAACACGATTTGATAGCTACATACATGGTTAAAGAAATTATTGCCTTCCGTGACAAACTAGCGGCGCTAGAGGCATACGACTGGGTCAGCGTGCCCCTGGCATACACTCAGGTATTTAAAATTTTCGAATTTAAATAACAAATTTAATCATTTACTGTAATTTTTTCAACGACAGTGTACTATTCATGGCAAATGCAACTTACTGGATTAACTGCACGAACTCTATGCATCAGAAAAGTATTTAATATGTATACTTACAAACAGAGGGAGCAATGGAACGAATGGAGGGTCCTCGTATATTTACTGTTTAATGCATGGGCAAAAATCTTGACAAGCGTAACAGTACAATCAGCCGTCCTTGAAGGGGATTTTTCCGGCTTCAATGACTTTCTGAATCGCTGCTATCCACATCTGTCGAATACGCGCAATATCCGCCCCCTTTAAGTTCAGCAAGTCTTTCTTCGACCAAACTTAGCGATCATTGACGTCATTGGAGCCGGCTAGAGCAGTGCTGATGGCAGCATCAGATCAGACGGATCTCTCAAGTGTTCAACTGGTTTCGACATTGGACTAACTCGCAGTACAAAAACTTCACTACATCAAGAACACCACTACGTCTACAGAGAAGATGAAAAGGCATTGGTCAGAGTAACCATTGATTGTTTCTGGCACTGGTTATCACTGTTCAGGTCTTGCATGCGTGTGTCATAGCTTCGATGGCAATTTTCATCAGATCGTGTTCTACGAAATACTGTTTTCTGATTTGAGCAAAAACTCTGGTACCCGAAAAGGTCCTCGGATATGATTGCTATAAAAACTCTGACAACCGTCATTTTAGTCTAAATGCTTATGACTCCTTATTTTCCATATTAAAAATTCTTTTTCATTTTCAAGGAGTTAAAACAACCCTCAGAAGTGCCGTATATCATGAGAAATGAATGTCGGCTTATGTCAGTCAATAAAAATGAAACTAAATTCATTCGTTCTATCGCATGTTCATTCATTCAGTCCTTCGTTCACATTTTCTTTGGTTGATGCATTCATTAATTCACTCTGTCTGTCCGTTCGCTGACCTTGCAAATGTGGTCACCGTTTCTCAAATGCATCATCTGTAATGATCGCTTGAATCGCGCGCCAAACAATTACGATTATGATATCTTAATTTGGAAACGTATATCATAAATGATGGCGTGGTAGAGGCCATTTTCTGTAAAATATGAATTATTCCTCGATATACAAAATTTCTCGTAAAATCAAAGAATGTGCCACTTTTGCACTGAGGCTCTTGTTCCGGTTTAATGGAATTGTGTAAATTTGAAGAGCGTCAGCTCTTTGAAAGCGTGCGCCCATTCAAGCCGTAGAAAGAGGAAGTAATGTAATAAAAACGAATAACTTTGACCTTGAAATTGTTAGGTACGGTCATGCATAACAATAGTACCATGCAGCTCGGCCTCCGCAAATGATATCCAGCCAATTTACACACTTTATCCTCAACAGAAGGACATACCCGGAACTGACTGAACATCATCGTAGCTGACGAGGATCACGACTACTTAGTCTCTGTGCCAATACTCGCATTTCTTTTCTAGATCATCAATCCCCTTTGATTAGACGCCTGCAGCCCAGTTGATATCGACCAACCATTCCGCTAGTCGTGAATGTGATATGACCACTGTCATTTTTTTTGCTTTCGAAATTTATACAAAGATCTTCATTTGCATATATCTTCTTATTTCTCCATTTCGCAGCTTATCCTTGATGGCAGTTCCTAACATCGTTCCACTCACATTTCGCTGCTGCGCTCTTAACACTTCTTCATCCTTTTCATCAATGTCCAGGTATCGCGACCTCATGGAGTTCTTAGCAAAGGCGAGTTTTCATACTGTATGGTTTTAGCACATTTTCTGCTCTCGATGGTGACAGTATTTCTTCGGTACGTCATCGCACGGCGTTTGTTAACGAGCTCTGGACCAAAAGAGTAGTTTGAAATGCTTAGCGGTTGACTGTAGGCGTGCCGGCAGTACAGATGAATAGGTATGATCCGTTGATGCAAAGTGTACGCTTCTTCTTCGCATGATTTAATGCTCTGTGGGTCTTTAAGCGAATGAAGCTGACGCTGACGAATGTTTTGTTCTAAACTCTCTTTTCGCTTTCAGGTGGTTACAATTGCCGTCTACAGCTACTATTTGGCTTGTCTGTTGAGTGCGCAGTTCATAAATCCGAATCGAAACGAAGAATTGGACGAAGTGTATGTTAGACGACACATCTACTTTCCGCTTTTGACCATCCTGCGAATCGTGTTCTACATGGGATGGCTGAAAGTAGCAGAAACTACCATAAATCCGTTGGGAAACGATGACGATGACTTTGACACGAACGAAATAATCGACAGGAATATCAAGGTGCGCTATGACACAAAATCAAATATTGAGGTTACGTGAAAACAGAGTAAAGGCTTAAACTAATGCAACGACTGAAACCCTGAAAGAGAATGATATTTTATAGGGGCATCTAACGAAACCATGAAGTTATCGCGCTTTTCTGCTCGATCCATGGCATATGCCCTTCAATTTTCAGAAAGATTGAATATATTCGTCTGATCGTTATAAAGGGTCGGTGATATTTATATAGACAGCATGGTATTCAGTGATAGACGAGTATTCTGGCTTTATCATATATGAATGGACGAGGTGCACGGACATGTTTTCTGATGGGCTTGGCTTTTCTGGATGGATTTCGTCCTGACACATCTGACGGCTCATTATTCAGTGCAATAATTAGCAAAAGATGTGAATTTCGCCCTTGGCAATAGTAGCTTTTTATTTAATGCCTACTTCAAAAAATTTTTTTTCTCCAGCACAATAAAACACATTTGATTTCTGTTTAAATGGCAGAAATCATTATTGTTGGTGTATGCCATCGGCTCTGATTTGGCTCAGACATCGCAGCTGTTTCTTCACTGCGTTTCTGTGCAGCCGAAAATACGGATAGCATGTCATTTATCCTGTGCATATGAGCAGCATATAATATCCTGGGATGGTCACTGCATAATGGGCTAGCTGGAGATGAAGTCATGAAATGCTTGCTTTCACTGCTGCACTTCATTTAGATTCACTGATAACTGGCTAAAAATGAGCAGTAGGTGTGAATCCTAAAATTAAAAAAATGAATTTTAAATTGTAAGAGCTTAAATAATACAACGTCACCTTTTAGGTTTCATACAGAATGGTGAACGAGAGCTGCATGCGACTTCCAGTCATGTTTTCAAGCATGTACGTCTGTCCAAAAACCGAAAACGTTCACTTGGACGATTCCCTTCTGAAAGACGAATTTCTGTCTATTTCTAGGGTAGAGGAAATTTTAATTACTTGATGTGCTAGTGAAATAGGTGTAATATGCGGTGAAACCGTTACTTCAAAGGATGAACTTGAAGAATAAGTCGTCGTGGACTAAACACTGTCAAGTATGGAACTGAGGGATCTTCTCCATTATCGAAGTTTCGTCTACCATAAATACTGTATTACTTTTTTTTGTTGCAACCTAGGTGTGCACACTTGACGCTTCCCATCAAGATATAATTTTCCTTATGGATATATGATATATGATACAGTCTCCAATGACGCTATATGAACGAAGAATTTTTTTTGGTGGCGCAGCGGCCCGCTACAAACTCTGGGCGTGTCCAGTTCAGTTGCACAAAAATTTCTCTTTGCCGTTGATTGCCTCCATTTCGAAAGGGCATAGGCAAACTCGTACGATAATATATTGAGAAAAACTTTTTAAAGCCTGAAAAAATATCTGTAATAACTGAAGCATTGAACACAGAACGTTGTTCTTTTTTCAGCACAAAGCAATAAGGTACAGGCAAGATACCGTAGTCACAAGGGTCAGCAGATATAGGATGAAAATTAGTAACGAAGGAACGAACGGTAAGCACGGAATAACTGACCAAT